AAGACGAGACGAATGTTCAGCCCATCTAGACCACTCCAGAGGTTACACCCTACCACCCCCACGGCAGGGTTCAAGGACCCTGCAAACCCACCTACCTCCTCGCGATTCAGGGACCTAACCCCCCCTAAGACAAGATGAAATGTCCAGCCCATATACACCACTCCAGCGGTTATACCCTACGACCCGCACGGCAGAGGTCATAGACCCCGCAACCCCACCCACCTGCTCGTGATTTAGGGTAACCACTCCACCAATCTGTGTCCGCTCCCAAGGAAACCCAACCGCCCACCACGATGGAATTTCTGCAGAGCCGCACTCGCTCTTTTCTTCTAATTACTACTCTCCAGCTACTCTCCAAACAGAAAACACAACAGGTAACAAACACTACACGTAACAACCGTCCTTACAAGCAAACGGAAGCCATACAGAGGGTCGAGGTTCCAATGACGAGACCAAAAACAAAGGACACACCATGGAAGAAATCCAAAAACGAAACTAATATTGCAAATATTCTTGCCTAAAACGGCGAAGGAACATAGAACTCCAACCTTAACAAAGAAAAATCCAAGGACCCAAAACACACGATTCATCGACACAATGGGCGAACGTCGCAACCGTAAAAAAAAACGAAACAGGATTCAAACGCTCGTCTAACGCAATGAGAGCAACCAGTGCAGCAATGGGCCTCGTTGCCGCTCGGCCTCTCTGCCATTCCACTACACAGCACTCTACATGCATTTGGATGCTTTCTGGACCTGATGCAATCAAAGTAATGGACTAGTCCCAATGCCCATGTTCGAGAAAGCGCCCAAATGCATGTAGAGTGTTGTGTAGCGGAGTGAGGCCCAATATCGCTTCTAATATCCCACTCGCACAGGGTAAATGAAGGGCCTCACTTCACCACTCTCCACACACACAGAAGACAAAACAATTGGCAATGTTTCTTCCCGTGTTTTATTCAGTCTCATTTTGCACATTTGGAGAGTAGTGGAGCAAGGCCCCAAGGCTGTCAATCCCGAACAGGGGAACAATGACCAAATTTCAAAACATGTGCTATCGTAACAAGGCAGCTCCAACAAGCGACCTCCCCTCATCACAAGCCACGAATCAAAGATGAAATAGCCAAAAGTCTCTTTCGCGGGCAAGGGGATAAGAGCATCCTCCTGCTGTGTTGAAGGCTCCATCTATCGGTGCGGAGCTGCACCTGGTCTGGAAACCGGGTCCGGCGTTCCTTTCCTGTTACATTACTAAGTGTGGCAAGTGAACATGGACAGATCAGAGAGGTAGAATGTATGTACAGCGGTTGTGGCTAGCTTGTCAGTGAGGAGAGAGAGATTCTAGGCCTCGCTGTTGCATACTGTAACGGTGCAGATCAGAACAAGAACCGACCTCTCAATACAAAGTACAAGATAGTGTAGCGGAAGACTTAGATACCGATGATCCGAACAATCAATATTGCAATGCAGCCCTGAACACACATCATCATCATCGTTCCATGGTGTGAAAGGGGTCTGGCGCTTCACACAGGAAGACTGCGCCAGCCCCAACCATACACAGACGAAGAAGAAGGGGGTTAGACGAAGAGGAGGGGAAGATGGGAATGTCGTCAACACCAACTTCACCAAGTCTTCGGCACAGGCCCAAATAGTCCCTCGTCAAAATGTCTGAATCCCAAATGTCGAGTCTGGATCCAATGTCGTCAAGTCCTAAGTCACAACTCTCTCTCTCTCTGTCGTAGTCTGAGAAGTCAGGTGGCGAGAGGGTGAGAAGAGATGGACTTAGAAGAGGAAGAAGAAGAACTCTCTCTCTCTCTCTCTGTGTCCAGTACTAACCTGTGAAGTTGGCGCCTTGATGCAGGTACCTCGAAGATGGAGCTGGAGCTATGGCACCACAGGTAAGTACCGCTGGCCTCCGCCAGCCATCTCCCTCCACTGCTACTACTACCACCTACTAGCGCCCAGAGCTGAAGACTACACCTACAGCTATGGGCACCCAGTGCTGAAGACTACTGCTAGCGCTGAAGACTACTGCAGCGCTCCTCCTGAGTGCTGCGGCCGAAATCCTGAAGACTACTGTCCTACTGTCCAACTACCTACCTGGGAAGTGCATGGGAAACCCCTATGTACTACTCGGCCTGGACTGGCTGCAGGCGAGGCAGCAGTCCAGGAGGCTGCTCTTGCCAACGCCAGAGGCAGTCAGGGGCTGCCGCTGCAGCTCCTGCTCAAGGCAGTCGTGGGAACAGGCTAAAGATAGCCTGTTCCGAAAACCCTGTTTTTGTGCCTGAGTCTTAGGGTCGGTCGAAACAATGAGGGCCTGAAAATGGCCCTCCGTTCCAGGCTGAAAAGCCTCTGGGCCTGAAAGGCCCAGAAATAGGCTGAAAACGGAATAGGGCCTGCAGGCCCTCGTTTTTCAGTTTCAGGCTGAAACGATCGGGGCCTGTAAGCCCTATTTTCTAGGCTTTTAGGCTGAAAGTGCGGGACGGGCCCTGCAGGGCCCGTGTGGCTACGCAGTATGCCGCACTCGCCCTCGCCACACCCCGCTGTAGAAATGAAAAAAGAAGGAATGCATCTTCCTCAGAAAGCAGTAAGATTGACACGTTGCTATTCATAGTAATGAATAGCAACGGATGCATCTTGCCATACTCTGCGGGACGATGCACGCGTACTTTTTTTCGTTTCAACAGTGGTGTGACGAGGCCCTATGAGTATTAACACTTTTTAACTGAGGTTGTCTCCAATGTCCTCCATGTGGCTCATCATACTGTGCTGTCACTGAACCTCTATGAAGTTTGCTCTGGCGCCGAATCTGGGCCAAACTTCGCTGCTGGCGCAAATCCGCACTGTGGCTGGCCAGATGCCAGTTTTACAAGCCAGCTCCTGTCATCACAAACCTGCAACCGAGATAAAAGGGCAAAAAATTGCGTGTATGTGCTGTCCCTTCCCGTCCAAGTTCAAGCAGCCGCACCGTCAGATGCCAAGCACAAAGGGATAAACAAGCAAGATATAGCCCTGATCCTCCAACGGCTATCTGCAATTCCACGGGGTGGACCCTGACCAAAGACGGAGCATGAAGGGATAAACAAGCAAGATATAGCCCCGATACTTCAATGGCTTATATGCAATGCCACGGGGCCGACCCCGACCAAAGATGGAGCCAGGCATTCCCGCAGCAGCTCCGACTGGGAGACCACCGACGCCTCCCGATCAGGTCTACCCGCTGTGGTGCAACGTCTGGATTTTTCGCCTGCCAGCTGCCACACACCTGCCAGCTGCCCACACATCACTCCCGCTCCCGCCTCAGGTAGGCAGGATTTCTAAATGGTAATCAGCCGGAACCGGATATGGCCAGGGACCAGTCAAGATCCCCACTGCGTGAAACCCCCTCGGGCCCGTGATCTCCCTTGGGCCCATACGCACCATCCACTCATATGCCGTAGCCACACCGACGCCTGGTTTTGGCAACAAAGGTTAAACCACCAGTATGCCTGGTTCTGACGCAAGTGCATATGGACCCGCACGGTGCACCGATTCAGCCTCCATGTTAACGCCTAAAAACGCGGTAGGTACTGGTTTTGTTAACCCTATGTGAACGCGATCCCTCGGCGCCCAAACATTGCCAACGAGACATGCTAGTGTTGCGTCCTCTGTCGAATCTGATATTCCTGCTTTTGCCTCCGTGCTCCGAAAAAAGAATGCGTTACGCATGTTTGTCTACATAGAATCTCATACACAAAAGAACGGATGGAATCGATCAAAAGGAATAATAAAACTTTACAAAAAAAAGACACAGAGACTGGGAAAACCAAAAATTCCTTCATCCCTGTATACATTGACTTCAACTTTTGCTGCAGTTCGGTCGAGTCCCCAGCCAACGTGTAAACAACCTGGCAAGTCTGTGATCTTCCTGTAGTAGCCTAGATTCATCGTTTCTGGCCTTTCTCTTATCCCACGTGGGATATTGATTGCACACATGGCATGTGCGGCAATTCTGCCACTGCCACGTGTACAACTTCAGCCATCCCCCGGGGGTGAGGTTCCACTACCGGTAGTAGCCTAGATTCATCGTTTCTGGCCTTTCTTTTATCTTTTCAACCGAATACAACCCAGGGTCATCGATGTGGCATTTGGGCCAACTTGTAGTCCAGATATAGTCTTTTAAATGACCAGGCGAGGCATACCAACAAGCCTACATTAGCTCCGTGGGTACACCCATGAACTGTTGAAATATAGACCTGAGTTCAAATCCTGCTGGACCTTGATGAATGGACTAAATCATTCTGAATTTGAATTGCCTACCGTCTTCACCCAGATACAACGTAATGTCGTTGTTGCTGTATCTAGACTGAAAGTTGCCCCAAAAACAGCTATAATAACCATACGTTGTATTCAGGTGAAGACGGTAGGGCCGGTCCGATGGATGAAGATGTCCCAATGCCGTCTCCCGTTTTTCTCAGAAAAAGAGGGGGGGGGGCGCAAAACAAGGACAGTGGATTCTATTCGGGTAAAGACAGTAGTGTTAGAAACGAGGCATTGGCCAGGGTATAGTGGGACGTTGGACCGGCTGTAATGGAACCTTGGCCTGGGTATAATGGGACCCTCGGCCGACTGTAACAGGACTTCAGCCTGGGGGCGTGTTTGACTGGATTCCTCATTATGGCGGTTGATCTTTAACCTGCGGGCCTGTTTGCCTGGCGACCCTGGTCTTGCTATAATGGGACCTTGGTCCGGCTATACATGGGGGAACTTCAGCGTGGGCCCTGGGTGGCCCTTTACCTGGAATTCCTCATTTGGGCCCATAGATATAACAAGGATCAACGGCCACAAACACAGACTCCTGCAAGTGGGACTTGGTCCTCCATGTGGGACTTAGTGCCGCTGATATTGACCATAGATAGCAAAGATCAGCGGTCAGTATTGCCTTTTAGCTCGGCCGTTGAGTGGGCCTTTGCCCCGGAGACTGTTTTCCTTGATCAGCGTTGCACCGGTCTCACGATCCTCGGTCTCCTGCTGCATCTTTTGTTTTTTCCGTTCTCAAAAATTCTAAATTCATCTGCAACAGTGGTGTGGCCAGAAATAGCCCCCTTCTGTCTTAACTTCTGTCAGGTACTTGTGCGTCTGTTGCCACCGCTGGTGCCGCCTGTCCAGTCGGGCCTATGTGTCCCTCTGCAGAACCCCCCCGCACCTCGATGCTCTCCAGTGGCCCAACATCCACTGCTTTATCTTGCTCTGCTTGTTCCATCCTCTTGGCCTTTAGTTGGTTCATTAACCTGTTGGAGAGAACGACGAGGATCATCTGAGAGAGAGAGAAGACGAGGAAGCTAACCCACTCATTCTTGGAAGCCTTTACCATCTGCGGACACTGCTGTTCGCTTATCTCGCGCGCTGCAGTGGCTACAAATCCACATTTGCTCGCGTTCTCGAGACTGGGGTACAAGCCTGTTAGATTGGTGACCAACGACGAGATGTTGGCCAAGGCCGGATCGCAGAGGGTCTTGTTGTATGCTAGGAAGGACACGCACGTGGGTGATGACACGTGCACGTGGAAGAAATCAAGTGCATCGGGTCCGCATGTCCCGTTCGGCTGCTGCAGGAAGTCCGGCGGTGGCCCGACTGGGTTGCAAAGCTTGATCGGGACGCCGGATGACGGGATCCGTGCCTGCAGGCGCCACAGATTCGCATTGACCTCGTCGACCGCAGTATGCAGCACTCGCCGAGTGTCTGTGAGTGTGGCATCAGCGCTCTTCGTATCAATGCACGGAATTAGATCCTTGAGGCTCGACTCCGCCGATGGGTTGGCAGCGAACTCCTCCATGGCCTTACATGTGTCACCCGTCGTGTTATGCGCGATTAGGGACATGGCGAAAAAGATGAATCCGATGAAAACGCCAGCTGAGCCTGCGGAGGTAGCCACAGGGAGGAGTTTCTCCAGACGCCCCCCTAGTGAGACCCCCATCAAAGCCAATGGGACGAGCAGGAGCGATGCAGCAGCAACAAAGATTCGCGTAATGAGCTGCTGAATCTTCCCAGCCTCAGACTTCGCATTCCCGACTGTCTGGCGGACCTTTTCCGACTTGTTTTGCAAGGACATCTGCGCGGAAACCAGGTTGGCGCCCAGAAGACTTGGCACAAAGGGGTAGTTCTCTGCCTTTTCCAGCAGCCTCCCTGCTGAGTCCACGTAATCGAGGGCTTCGTACGTCTTGTTCACGCCAACATCCACACCTCCCAACATTGCATCGTTAAATTCACTTTGACCATAGAACATCAGTACAGAGGACACGATGGCCGCCACAAAACAAGCGACCATAACTGCCAGAATCAACTCAAACAGACCGGGTCTGTACAAAGATCTTAGCTCGCGATAACCTTTGGCTGCCTGCTGCCGTAGCTCTTGCAGACGTTGAGGTGCATTCGTCACTCCTTCTCGGAGTTTTGCAAGTACTTGGAAGCGGCTTTCTGCTTTTTCCTTCAGCTTCTGAACTTGCTGAAACCTCGCCCCTGCTTTCCCCGCAAACTGCCGAAGGTGTGTAGCCTGGCTCCACACAAACCGTCCGATCTTCCCAAGTGGGAGCCGGTTCCATACAGACTGGCCCATCTTTCGAAGTCGCTCCACTCCCTTCGACATTGGACGGGCGACTCGAAGCCGCAAGCTATTGAGCAGTTGAGCTCCTTTGGATGCTTGTAGTTGGAGATTCTGAAGCATGCTAGGTCCCTTTTTTCTTGACGGCTCTTCAACAAGCTGGTGCTGTTCCTTTGAATGTTCCTGCCATGGTTCTGCTTCACACAGCATAGGGACTCGCAGTTGTCGAAGCCCTTTCCTTATCTTCTCCCCGAGCTCTCGGAGTCGTCCAACGGCTTTGCCTGCCTGATCGCCGAGTGATTTCACCTCTTTTACTCCTTTGACTGTCTGCTCTCTAAGGTGTTCTGCTCGTTCGAGCCCTTCTTTTGCCTGGGCCCCAAGCTGTACAAGCTGTTTAGGATCTTTGATATTTTTGACATTGGCCACTTGCTGTCCGAGCGCCCGAAGGTCTTGCAATCCTTTCCTGGCCTCCTCTCGGAGCTGCTGAAGTTCCTGGACTGATTTCCCCACCTCGCCGCCAATAGATTGCAACTCCTGAACCCCTTTGACTGTCTGTTCCCCGAACTGTTCGAGTCCTTCAAGCCCATGCTCTGCCTGAGCACCAAGCTCTAGTATTTTCCCCTTACATTCCTTGACGCTCACGACTTGCTCCCCGAACTCTTGAAGTCCTTGAAATCTGCTCGTCGTTTTCTCTCCTAGCTGTTGAAGTTGTTGAACAGATTCGCCTGCCTGATGAGCGAGCGATTTGAGCTCCTGAACCCCTTTCACCGTCTGCTCTCCAAGCTGTTCGAGTCCTTCCAGCCCTTGTTCTGCGAGAACCCCAAGCGGTAGAAACTGTTGACGCTCCTTGATATCCGTTACTTGTTTTCCAAACTCCCGAAGATCGTGGAATCCCTTTGCTGCCTCCTCTCCTAGCTGTTGAAGATGTTTGACTGATTCACCTGCGCGCTCACGGATCGATTGGAGCCTCTGTATACCTCTGACTGTCTGCTCTCCAACCTGTTGAAGTCCTTTGAGCCCTTGTTCTGCGTGAGCGCCAAGCTGTAGAAGGTGCTTAGATTCTTTGCCATCGACCACTTGCAACGCAAACTGTTGAAGTCCTTGCAATCCGTTCGTTGTCTTCTCTCCTAGCTGTTGAAGTTGTTTGACTGATTCCTCTGTCTGGTCGCGGATTGATTGGAGCCTTTGGATCCCCTTGACTGTATGCTCTCCAAGGTGTTCAAGTCCTTCCAGCGCCCGTTCTGCCTGAGCCCCAAGCTCTAGAACTTGTTTACTCTCTCTGACATAAAGTACTCGTTCTCCGAACTGCTGAAGTTCTTGAAATCCTTTCGCCGTGTCCTCTCCTAGCCGTTGAAAGTTTTGGACCGATTCACCAGCACGGTCTTGGATTGACTGCAGCCTTTGGATTCCTTTGACGGCCTTCTCTCCAA